AACTACCCCCCCTCTTCCCAAGCACCCCGCCCGCCGCTGACCTCGAAAACCAACAACCCCGCGGGAAGGGGGGAGGCCCAGGGAGCAGCCTGCTCCTGTTCCCTCCTACATCCCGGCGGCAGCTGGGCTGTGCCGAGAGAAGCAGGCTGGAGCCAGAGGCACAAAAACGGGGTCGGCCAAGCCGAGAAGAAAATAACCCCAGGCCAGTGGCCACATCCAGAAGAGACCCCCTGGCCTGATTTGTGCGGCGGCAGCGACCTTGAGCCGTGCAACCCGCTGGGGCGGTGATACCTCTGGGTGCGTGTAGGCAGCCTCGGCGTCCCGCTGCAGCGAGCTCTCAATGTCGGCAAGGCTGTTGGTGATGAGGCTGGAGCAGTTCTCCCTGTCTCTGTGGTGGGGAACCTGCGGACCCTCCTCCACATTGGCTCCTGCCTGGTGGCCTTCCCGCGTGAAGTTCCTGGACATGCCCTGGAAAAGCAGGAGAGGAGACTTTACCCCACATAAAGACAAGGGACACTCCACAGCTCCCAAACCACACAGCCCAGGAGCCAGCGAGCTCTGTGCTCACATCCTGGGCTCACAGCTGGGCTTTTTCATGGAGCTGGGCACTTCAGCTGCTACGAAGGTGTCCCTGACCCCGGTGGGATTCAGAAACCCCATCCTTGGTGTGCACATCCCAGATCGACTCTTTGCCACAGGGCCCCATGGAGTGGGAAAGTGGCCTTGAGATTCTTCAACACCCATCTTCAGCCACGCTCACCGGCTCATAGAAGGAAGAGGAAAAGCCAAGCTAAAACATCTAAAGTCCCAGCCTCGCGTTCTTTGCCTATGGCAGCAAGTTCACCTCACGTTTATTAATCCCACTTTCCTAGCAGGGTCCCATCCTGCCTGACCCCCAGGGAAAGTCCCTGAGGTTGGCATCCCACTTCTCTGTTTTCTGTTCTCCCGGTCCTGCCCCGCTGCTGGGCCACACAGCGCCTGCACTCAGGGACTGCTCCTCCCCACCAGCCTCCACTCCCACAGAAGAGAGGGAGAATTTGGGGGGACAAAAAGAGCCAGTGACGCTCAGAGAGCTGTGCTGGGACCGGGAGGGAGCTGGGGCTGGCTGCAGCATATCAGGCATCCCCAGGCAGGCAAACCCCTTTGCCCTTCTCAGCCCCTCAACCATAGTCACCAAGGGGTGGTTGCAGTCTCTGCTCATCGCTCCTTGGTCTTTTACCTCTTATATGGCAACTGCTTTGAATAGGTGGCACATCAATCAAAGCATTTTTGCACAGAGACTGGGGGCAGTTCCCCCTGATCCTTCATTTTCAATCTGTCCTGCCATTAATTTCTCCTAAAAGCCACCGTGACCTCCATCTGCGACCTCAAAATCACCAGCTGATGCAACAGCTGCAAGCAAAAGACAAAGCAGAGGAGCTGCCCTGCTGGAGGAGGCACTAGCTCTGCAGACCAAGTGTTTGGGGGTTCGTTCCCTTGACTGACACCATGGGTGTAAAATACCTTGTTGTGCTGGAAACATCTCGCAATACCTTCTCATCTCTGCAAAAATACCATCCTGAACTCAGTTAACCCCCGACCCCCTCCATGGGTATCTGAACTCCCGGGAATTGTGAGTCATGGCTTTATCACGCGGTTTTAAGGCTGAGTCAAATAATGCAGGGACTTTTCAGCCAGCATTTTGATGTAGCGAGATAAGGAACAGGGCACCTCATGATGCTCTCCTAGGAGCAGCAGCAGCTTTGACACCCTCCTCCTTTTGGGAGGACGGCTGATTCCGACAGCCTCATGCCCTTTATCACTTATTTTGTGTAATGTTTGGCTTATGACCTGCTCAGGGATAAAATCTGCCTCCCCTGGAGTGGGGAGGCACCACGAAAGCCTGGCCTGTGATGCCGCTTGAGGCCGCTCAGTTGCTTTGCCAGGGAGCAGCTGCCAAAAGCACACCCGCCGGGGAGGCCGATGCTTTGAAGCCATGCCAGACTCTTGTTCAGCATCTCAGCTGTCCGCTGTATCAGATCCTGTGGCCCATGCAGGGTGTGATCCTCCTCCTCCTCCTCCTCCCAGGAATTTCTGTGCTAAGCCAGCAGCAGGAAGCGTTTTACACCTGCTGCCTGTGTTGCCTGCCCCAGCCTCCATCTAACCCAGACCTCTCCTGCCCTTCTCCCTCCTGTCCAAGTGCCTGCAGGCAGCTTCAGCTGCTTGTTACGTGATCCTGCAACCCTGTTTCTAGGAAATTAAAGACCCAAATCTGAATTCTCCCCTCTTACACCTTCACTGCTCCATCTCTGACCAAACTGCTGCAGGCAGGCCAAGCTTTCTGCCCGTCTGCCTCGCTGCGACGGGCTGCGAGCGTAGCAGCCACGCTGCGAGGTCACCCCAACATGCCCAGAGAAGTGCCACCAGCACCACTCACGCTGAGCCCCCTGCGCAGGAACCGGCTGGTAGACGGGGCCACCCTGGTACCAAAGAAGAGTGCGGTGGTAGCCGCATGCGAAGTGATCACTTCTGTCATTTGTCAGTACTCAAACTCCTAACACTTACCTTACCTTAGCCTCCAACTCGACCATCAGCAAGGTCTCTGAGGAACCTGCAGTCCCCACTCACTGACCCGATGTGCTGTGTCACTCTGGTCTGGCCCATTTAAAGGTGACAATGTCTAACAGCATCGTTTTCAGTCAACTGGTTTCAGGGTGAGACAAATTCATGGACCACAGATCCATAAAGGATACCAAAAAAGGGTCGGTCCCCTCTATCATCCCTAATCCAGCTAACTGTGGATGTTAAATAGCAACAGACCATCAACCTGCCCCGACGGGGCCCTTGGTGTTCACCACAGCATCCCCTGCTCTGGGCGAGCCCAGTTCACCATGCCATGGGACAAGGCTTACCCCACCACCAGACACGTGGCTACCAGCGCCGTAGGTCCCCAATGGGGATGTGTGGCATGGGGGTGGCGGCACAGCTCCCACTTCCCTCGCTCCTCTCCCCTAATTAGCAAAGACTCAAGTAGCAAACCCAAGTAACGACTGGAGAATATGCTAAACCACAGGAAGAGGGTGGGATCGCAAACAAAAACATTGTTTCTTTGTTATTTTTAGACCTCAAAACCCCTTTTCCCTCTTTTGGGTCAGTCACCACGCTTGGAAACCCAAAGCCCCCCCAGACAAGCGTGCTCCTCTCGGCTGTCTCCTTCCTGACCCCGGGATGGAGCACGCCGTGCCTTCCCGAAACACTTTGCAAGTGGAATTTTGGCTTTATAAATCATCGCCTCTCAGCTCCTGGCTGCAGACAAACGGGACTGCTCTGCTCCGACAAGAATGTGGAATTACTGTCCCAGATACGGACCACGGGAGAAAACTCCAGTATTTAATCTGGCAACCTGTTGTTACATAGCTGAGCGCAGCTCAACAAACTGCGAGCCCCACGTTGTACTAGCCAAAGAAATATTAAACTGTATGGAAGTGAAAATGACTTTACTGAAAGTCTAATGCAAAAAACAAAAAAAACCCAAAAAAATAAAGGAAGGTACTTTATCTGTCTTTTTAGCAGTACTGAGGGTTGAGCTCTTTTTAAGCGCAGGCCAAGATGTAACTTGGTCCTTAAGGAATTTGACCTCCTTGGCTACCAGCTGTCCCGGTGAGCGTGTCCTGGCACCAGCCCTGAACCACTCACCCCCACATCAAACAGCACAAAAGCACCTGGCTGAGCGCAACTATCACGCCAGCACAGACATAAAATTGAGAAGAGGAAAAACTTGACAGCAGGCCCTTCGGACCCCGAGGAGATGCTGGTCCTGTTGAGGCCACAGCTGGGATCCCACACCCAGTTTGGGCCACGGGGGATGGAGGGGAACTGGAGAGGGTCAGGGGAAGCTGACAGGGTGGTGATGCCCCAGGCACTGCCTGCAAGGAACAGTGGAGATCGGGTTTGGAGAGCGTAGTCTGGTCTAGTTTGGACAGCCTGGTTTGGTCTAGTTTACTTTCAGCCAAATAGTTAATTAACATTTCTTCCAAAAGAAAGGAGGCTCAGAATGCACAAAGTGCTCGATGTGAAGCAAGTCCCACTGAAGGCAACGACCTCGAAGGAGAGCAGGACTCCTCTTACCTCCTCGAGCTTTTCCACCCGACCAACCAGCTTGGTTGTGACCGAGTGCAGCTTCAGCAGGTCCAAGCCATAAAAGGCACTTTCCAGCATCTCAACGATGGAGGACAGCTGCAAGGCAAAGGGAGCACACCGTCAGTCCGAGGCACTTGCTATAAAGTACCCTGCGTGGTTTCTACAGCTGAAAAGTCAAGGGCAACGCACGCATCTGAGCACAAGAAGTTTAATAAAATGCAAATTTTTCCTTACACAGCCCTGGCACATTGCTGCTGCAGTCAGGAGCACAGCATGCAGGGCTTTGGGAGCACGTTTTGGGCGGTGGGGATTAGTAAGCAGAGCAAGGAGGAGCACTGCCCTCCTTGCCAGCTCTAGGCAGGCTCTCCGACAAGCCCAAAGGCTTAGCTACCCCACTGGCGCTGTGACTGGCAACAAAAGAGAAAACGAGCAATGGCAGCTCAAATAAAAGCGAGTTTGACATCAGACTCTGAGTTCGTGCCATGCCATGCTTTTTTTCCTGGAACAAGAAGAAACTTGTTAAAAAATTTTAAAATGTTCACAAATCCAAGAGTGAAGCAACTGAAATTCAGTGCCAGCCTGCTAACAGCTTGCTTCCCCTGGAGAACAATTTTATCAGAGGGATGCTGCCTTCTCCTTCTAACTCATTTCAGCCATGCCCCGTATTTAATTCACCTCCTTCCTGCAGCAGGAAGGGTTGCATTGCCGCGTCCTGCCCAGCACCAGCCCCTGCTCACCAGTCCTGGGGATCCAGACAGCAACACCCTCGTTCTGCATTTCCTACGGTTCCTGGCACCCGCTCCGCAGGGGACGGCACCGAGACAGGCAGGGGCTGGTGGGGAGAGCTCCCAGGCCACCCCCTACCTCCACTCCCACAGGGACGGGCTCCCTCCAGTCCCACGTGTCCCCACATGTACAGTGCAGTACTTGCAGCCCTTACAGCCCTGAAGGCCAACAAGTATTTTCAATGCCTGGGAATTACTACAAGGCGGTGGTGACATTTTCTCCCAGCAGCTACAAACTGGTCAACAGAGCTCCATAAACATGGCAGAAGAGTACAGGCAGCACTGCTGGCAGCACTCTGAGTTTCCACCACGGCCTCTGCCGTCTCCCTGTGGAGCTGACAGCAAAGGAAAGATTTTTTTGGGCCAGATAAAATGGCAGCATCAAGAGACAAGACTGTTTTATGGCTATGCATCCACTTTCCACCAAGAACTGGATGGAGACGACGGATACAATGTGTGCAACCTGCCAGACAGCCACTGGAGACATGTGCTTTCCCTCCAGGCTGGATGATTTCCATCAGTGCACAAAGGCTGCAGACTTTATTAACCACCTTCCAGATCTTCCTGAACACAGACTCCTTGCACAGTCTCTGCACCCGAGACCCCCAAAACGCACGCTGCGCCTACAAGCAGAGGAGCAGCAAGCTGCGATTTCACAGAAATAGATCTGAGAGTCAGCTACCCCCGCCACCACCGAGTTGACCCTCCCCAAAACACCACACTGATGCACACAGCAGCTTGCTATTTCCTTCCCTTCACCCACTGCAGACTTTGGCTCTCGCTGTCTGATGGCCCATGCATTCCCATGGAACTTTATTAAAGGCACAGATGGGACCGAAACCTGCAGCCAGGATGCCCAGCACGGCCATTCGGCACTGTGTCGGGGTGCCCCAGGGATACCCCTGCTGCCTGGGCTTATCTACTCCCTTTCTCACTGTTCCCTTGGGGACCAGCACACCCGTTGTAAGGGAGCGCTCTCATTTTGGGGAACTTCCCACGGCTCTCCCAAAAACAGAGAACCCAGGGCCTTTGATGCAGAGCATAAGAAGGCCTGTTAAACCACAACAGATGCAGAGCACCGCTAGGTGCCTCCTGCTGCCGGACCAGGCAAGAGCGATGCTCTTCAGACCAGCAAGGAGAGTGAAAACCCCGGGGCTGTTAGGAGCAAGGAGGTGGCCTGGCCTGGCCCTCCTGCCCACCCACCACCGCAAAGCATGGGGGCTGCTCCTCATGAGTCACGGAGTAACTGGAGCCATGTCCTTTCCCAGCTTCTCCTGTAAGAGGTTGCTGTTCCCGGTGCACGCGACCCCAGGAGGGACCCTGTGCTCGGTGAGAAAGCAAGCCTGTTTTCACAGCTCCCGTGGTTTGACTTTTGCAGCAAGGAAAACCCCACGTGTGTATATTTGGATAAACCTTGTGAAATCATTTGGCCGCGGATCCTTGCGAAATGAGCGGGGGAGCCTGGGCCAGTTCCTAGAGGACAAGCTTTCACACCACAGCTGGCTGCGAGCAGCTCCCCAGTGGGAAGAGGCAGCCAGAGCCAAGGGCGCAGCTAGCCACGCCGCCCGGCTCCTCCCGGAGGCTGACCGGCTCTGGAGAGGACAGGGAGAGAGGTGCGAGCTGCGGGGGCAGGAGCGATGCCTGCCTCCAGGCAGGACACTTCAGGGGTGGCTCTGTCACCCCGGGGGGGGGGGGTCCCCTCCCCTTAACCGCAGCTCCTCATCTAAGGCCAAGTGGGACATCCTGGCTTCTCCTGCAGACAAGGGACCACCAAACAACTCCAGGCTGGGACTCCTCCTTCCCTGAAATGATGGATTATCTGCCTGTGCCTGTTTATCTTCCCTAGCTGCAGGGGAGCTTGGACAAGAAGCTGCTAACTGTCTGCAGTCGGACAAGATGAAACGCATCCTCGAGCTCCAAATTAATTAGAACAAACCCATCATGATGGCCCTGGCGGGAGGCTGCCCCGCAGCACCTCGCACGAGGCCTGCCTTCCCACCTGAGCTGGGCCTGGCAGCACCGCCACGGGGTACCTCCTGCCACCGCCCGCACCAGTGCCACCGGCACACGACCTTCTCCTCCGGGGACTCCCCAGGGCTGGACTGTGCCAGCGGCCCTTTGGGGAGGATTTCTGCTGCCCTTACCCAGGTAACAAACTGGAGAACTCAGTAGGGTCTGGTGCCAGCTGCCAAACCAGCAAAAGTAAGCACCCAAGAAAAGTCACAAGTACTTGGAACAAACACTGCCACGTTTGGAAGAGAGGTACATGTTACTGGAGAGATAAAATGCTAAACAGTATAGAAGCATCAACACGTAAAACAACAAAACCCACCCTGCCATCAGCCAGCTGCGTAACACACCCTCACGCTGACGCATCAGCAGCTTTTGGCCCACAGAAGCCAGAACCAGCTTTTTTGCGTGGGTCCTCGGGAGCCCATCTCTGCGATGGGAAGGAGACCCGGCAGCTGCTGAGCGGAGCAGAGCCGTCCCCCTGGGGACACTGAGCAGGGAGCAGCCCGGCCCCCCCCGGGCTCCCGGCACAGGCAGCCACGGCGGAGCCCAGGCCGCAGAGGAGAGCTCGGGCAGCGTGCTGCTGCGTGAATCATCGACTGCAGCTGCTTGAATCAATCCCTTAAGCTGAGCTTGATTTTCACATAAAACATCCAGATATAAAAGTAACTATGGCTTTTTTTTTTTTTTAAATGAAAAAAGTTGAAGAAAAAGGTTTTATAGAAAAAGCTCAGAAAGAAAAGGCTTCAGAAGATCTGCCCCTCCCAAAAGAGCCCCGAATTCAAGCCGCTCTCCTACCTTCAGGTCACTGCTCTCTGCCTCCCGCAGCTTCTTCAGCCTGAAGTCCCCCTCGCAAGGATTGAGCGCCGAGGGGGGGGCCACGCACGCACACTTGCAGCTGGGTCCCGACGTGATGGTTTCCACCGTGTAAAAATCCTCCGCTTTGAAAGCGCCTTCGTTAATCCTTTGGCAAGCTCCGCGGCCCAGGGGCCTGACCAGGCATTTGCACCGACAGTCGGAGCCTTCGGACACCGCCTTCACCTTGTCGTAGTCACCTAACAGCTGAGCACAGGTCACCAGCCATTAGCAAACTTCTGGTCCTCTGCTCGCCCAGCAAGGGGCAAGAACACCCTGGACCTTGAGGTCCGGGCAAGGACGCTTTGGACATCCCGCACCTCGAGGAAACTGACTGGCTCTCCCAACATCTCCTGACGGAGAAGTTTTCTAGAGAGCGCAGAGCTTTCTGATCCCTACCTACAAGGGGAAGAAAAACTGGCTTCTTCCAACAGGGCATGTTTTTATCCCACTTGGCGTAAACCAGACCTAGCCACTTTGAATTTTAAATAGGAGAATTTTAAATACGAACCCCATCCTCCTGTCTTTTAATGCTCTGTGTCCAGTAGACCCCATAAGTCACCTGCTACCCTGGAGCAAGGTTTCTTTAGGTGGGCAAAGAGGGTAAGGGTGCGCTGGAAGGGCGACTGAAACCCACCCTACAAGCAGCGTAACCTGGTGGTGAAGCAGTATTTCTGATTAGCCCCATACAATGCCAGGAATTTCCTTTACGGAGATTTGCAGACAGCGCTTCTGAAAGCCCAAGCACAAAAATAACTTTGACGGTATGTTTCCAATAGTCTCCACGTTAGCCATTTCCGAGGGCAGATAATAGCACACAGTCTGATCGGCCAAATCTAAGAACAGAGACCTCCGCTGCACCCCGCTGGCGGGGAAAGAGCCTGGATCCCTCCCCTCTGCACACAAAGAGGCTCCACCAATTCCCTTTGCAAGGAGCTCCCCGTCTGCCGAGTCCCCCCCGGGGAAACGACAGGATGGAGGCTGAGAACTGCTCCCCGTTGGGCTTCATC